GAGTGTCCATAATTGCCTGAAATAACAAATTTAAGGTAAACAAGAGAAGAAAAGAAAAATATTTTCATTACACTAGGTCACTTCAGAGAATTCTTCAAGTACCAGGCAGAGGCGCTAAAATGATGCAATGATATAGAAATCAGCTTGTGTCTGTCTGAAAATGTTATGGTTCTTTGACTCTGAATAAATATGGAATAGAAACACAGATACTGAATAAAAAGGGGGAAAGCAACACTTTTAGAAAATATAGTTGCTGAATTTACAAATGATGAGAATTAAGATTTTGATGGGTAAGAGCTACCAATACATCTGTAATGACTTAAGCAGCTACCAATATTGAAGATGGTATTCTTGAAGAGGATAAAAAGCTGTAGTCTTTGGTACAAGAAATACACTGCAAACATGAATGGTAATGCCACAAATAACAGAAAAGATCATGGGAACAGTATAAAATGCAGTCTTTCTTTTTGTAATGTTATAATTGTTGATCTAAAATTGTAAGTAAATCAAATGGATTGTGACACAGAATATGATTGTTATTGTACTGATAACAGGTTTCACTGCATTCCAATATATAGTGAAATGAGTATGATGCGGCGGTATCAATCACCTTCAACTGACATGAATTATCAAACTGCATTACATGCGCTTACACAGCTAATTCCATTCTGAGCTCCAAAGTTTCAGCTCTATCTAGCCATGCATACTAAGATGAAGACAATGTGTCCTGGGCATGTTAGAGGGCAGAGCCTCCCCATCAACCCTCCCCATGGGCAGTGCCTGATGGGAACGCCCTGTTCCAGCAAATTAGATTGTTGAATAAAGTTTGTGATGTGGAGTTGGGGACTTACAGCCAATTTGTTAAAATTGTGCAAGGCCCGACCCAATGAATTTTCATAAATACAGACGCAAAAATAAAGGCATATCTGTCTGTATATCTGATAGATATACCTATAACCATCTCTTTGCTGGGTTGATATGCATGTCTAGACTGATAGATATACCTTTATTTCTTTATTTATGCACATCAAGTATAACAAATATTCTTTGGGTTGGGCTTGCACAATTCTAATAAACTGGCTGTTAGTCTCTGGTGAGTGCATCCATAATGTAAAAAATTACCAAGAATATCTTATATTGAGAAGCACTGCTGGCTCCTTTATCTTCTGATCTGTCTGAGAGTTCCTATTATCTGTACGGAAGTCCCTTGACTAAACATAAAGGAGTCTCTAATTTTTGATGAAGGATAAGCCTATATGGGAGATAAATTTAATATGGTAAGATCAGTTTAGGTTCTGGTGTGTAACTAAATATAAAAGAAATAGTAAATAAAACTATAGAGAGAAATAAGGGAAAATAAAAAATTTAAAAATCAAAAGTACATCTTGAAACAAGGACCCTTCGAAGATAGAGAAACACTAAGGCGAAGACCAAAGAGCACAGACAAACAACTTTCTTATTAAAGAAAATACTCTGAAGGAAGTCCGTGTAAGTCCACCATCGCTCATCAAAAAAACACCCACAGCGACTCAGGCAGTTGCCATGCCCCCACTAATATGGAACCAGTTTGAACTTGATCTTGGTCTGAACATCACCTGCCTTTTAAGGTTTCCGTCCTCTAGCCAAAACCCAAGCTTGCCAGTACTCCCCTAGTATACTGCCATAAACTCATCTGCAAAAAAAAATCTACCATTCCTTATAATTATTTCTATTCTATTTTTCAAAGAAATCAAAACAGATTTCCAAATACCTTGTGTACCCCCTAGCCATGACAGCTTCAAATGTCACGTAATTATCTATGACATCCTAACTGGCTGTCTAATGAGCCAATTAGGATATAATAGATAATCACCTGAAATTAGAAGCTTTCATGACGAGGAAGTGTACAGGGAATTTGAAAACTATTTTGACTTCTCTGCAAAATGTCAAAAACATGCTAAAGAATAGCCGATAGTCCTCCAAAATCCTCTCAAAAGCAACCACGAAGGTCCCAATGACCCTTACGACCTGCAACCTTGCCCTTCTGAGATTAGTGTTGAAGCTCCAGAATTATGGCAAATGTCCATCATTATAGCTAAATAATTGATGGATTTACCTGACTCTTTGGCTTTTTACCCTGTAATTCCCATGACACTCGGATGCTACTGGGGACGATAACTATGATAAACATTCAACTTCCTCAGGACTGAATTCTTGATAAGTTGAAAAATTATTAAAGTTATCAACAATACTGTATTTACTCAAAATCCCTGTCAAGTGTCATTTCTGAATTCATGGTTATACCGATAACATCTAATGGCTAATTTAATTTATTCAATCAATTCATTTCTTTCCTACCAATTTCTGAAACATTTTTGTAAGATTACATAATCAAACACTTACAAAACGAAATAAATAAGCCCTTTTGTCACTTAAACTAATAAGACAGACTTAACATCCAACAGCCAGTGATCTTCTCCAAAATATAAAACCCAATAAACAAAAAAACAAAACAATAAAAATACAACAAACAATTCATTACACAAAAAAAACACCGGAACATCCCACCCACACCCTCGTTCTCCCACACAACGACAACGTGAATAACACCGATTCTCACTTATATCATATCTCCTCGACCTCACTGACAGAGCTGACAAGGCCCCGGTGGAATATCTCAGCGAGGAACCGAGAAAAAGCCTTTTCGCCAGCGCAGCCGAACCCACGCGCAGAGCCATGTTGTTGTTGTTGGGCAGACGACGCCGAGCTTCTGCCGGCCGCCGCTAGGTGGTGCTGGGAGTGTGGGTTATTATTTTTTTGTTATATTACTTTATTATCATTTTGGATGGTTGTTGAGTCTTTGCTAATGGTTTGATTAAATTTCGTTGTTTTTCAGGTATCTGTAATTCTATACGACACGGAGCTTCTGCCGGTCACCTCCGAGTAAGGTTGGGTCGGGGTTATTTTATTTTTGATGTGTCTCTTTTTTGTTTTTTTGTTTTGGTTGTTTTTCGGAGGATTTATCTTTTATTGATTTGATTAAATATTGGTGCACTTGGCCATCGGTGATGCTATAAGACGTGTTGCATCTGCAGATCGCCGCTAGTTAGTGTTGGGGTCGGGGTTATTTAATGCATTTATTACTATTATTATTTTTTTATCATCTTAAGAATTTTGGTTGTTTATGAGGTTCTAGTTTTTGTGTTGATTTGATTATTTTTTGTTGTATGTAGGCATCAGTGATATAATATAACGCAGAGATTCTACCGATCGCCGCTGGTGTTGTAGACATGGTTTTCTAATATTCATTTATTTATGCTAGATGCTTTGTTTGTTTCTTTTATATTTGTTTTATCTATCAGGCAGATTAAATTTTGATGTAATTGGGCATCAGCTGTGGTATTACAAACATAATGGTGCTTCTGTCACTCGCCGCTAAATGTTTTTTTTTCTTTTTTCATAGATATGTCTGTATTTCAATTTTGATATCAATCAAATCATTTAATAGGCTTGGCTAGTAGTGTGTCTGCTGTGATATCAAAGACACGACGCGGAGAATACTAGACTGTAGATGTTTTTATGTTCGAGGTTTTGAGATCTTTGAGATTTAATTTCTAATATGACTGTATTTTAAAAAATTATATATTACCATGTTTGCTGAGAGAGAGAGAGAGAGAGAGAAGAGAGAGAGAGAGAGAGAGAGAGCAGAAAAGAGAATATAGAGAGAGTGAGAAGAGACGAGAGAGAGAGAGAGAGAGAGAGAGAGAGAGAGAGAGAGAGAGAGAGAGAGAGAGAGAGAGAGAGAGAGAGAGAGAGAGAGAGAGAGAGAGAGAGAGAGAGAGAGAGAGAGAGAGAGAGAGAGAGAGAGAGAGAGAGAGAGAGAGAGAGAGAGAGAGAGAGAGAGAGAGAGAGAGAGAGAGAGAGAGAGAGAGAGAGAGACAGAGAGAGAGAGAGAGAGAGAGAGAGAGAGAGAGAGAGAGAGAGAAAGAGAGATGAGAGAGAGAGAGAGAGAGAGAGAGAAGAGAGAGAGAGAGAGAGAGAGAGAGAGAGAGAGAGAGAGAGAGAGAGAGAGAGAGAGAGAGAAGAGAGAGAGAGAGAGAGAGAGAGAGAGAGAGAGAGAGAGAGAGAGAGAGAGAGAGAAAGAGAAAACCGGAAATAAGTAAGCTATACACTATACTATACTTATTCCAACAGAAACTAAATAAATATGAAATACATAAAATTCATAATAAATATGATAAACAACTCTTGCATGAATGGGCAAAGACGGTAATGCAGAACCAGGAACAGTTATTCATCGCAAACGAGTTATGAACATTTCCATTATTTGACTACTACCATATTTATTTTTCAATACCTTATTTACTAGACAAAAAAAAAAAAAAAACACAATGGACTTTTCTGCAAACTAATTTTTTCATACTCTCATAAGAAACGTCTTTTAAAGGCTAACAAGATTGGTGTCGAACATCTAAAATAGTTTACCCGCAAAACAATTAATAGAAAACTTGTCATAGAAAATGTTGGTTTTATTGACGGGGAATATCCTAAACATGAAGATTGTGAAAATAAAGTGCGTTGATTTGGCCAACGGACCGTACTCTAAAATTCTTCTGATGCAAAACGTGTTTTAATCAGATCTTCAAAATCAGCTGGATTTAAGTATTTCCAAGTTGTCAAGAGAGAGAGAGAGAGTGGCGAAGCCGGAAACTGCTCGTGCCCTTTTTATTTGAGAGTATACATTCGCACCACATACATACGCACACAAACACACACACATTGCCACTTTTGCATCTGTCTGCATTTTTCTTTCTATGTCAGAAGTCAGATACCAAGTCCTGCCATAAACAGCGGGATCACATTAGATTGCACATACATCATTTGATAAGAAACGAGAGATTTTCGAAAATCTCATAACAGTAAAATGTCTCTAAATCATGAACACCCAAAGGATACAAGACCAAAGCAAAGGATAAGGACTCTATTTCATAAACAGCCAGTATTAAGGAGAATGTTTATTCTCAGCTCTCAGTATATTTTGTACACAGTGGATGGTACCCGGAAAAGTGGATACCTTTAACTTCTAAACTATATGTACAAACTGACTTTCGAAATATTCACACGCAAATATACATCAGCTAAAAGAACAAAAACATAGAACAGATTTTCCACGTTTTTCATATTTACTTTTTATGTCCTTTGAAATATATTTTAGACATGTGAACCCTTTGTATATATCAAGGTGCTTCACTTTGCGCACATAGAAACAGGATTCTAGAACAATATATAACATAATTTATTATATAAACTATCTAAATTTCAACCACAATGAACATTGTATATTTATACAATTTGTGCGCTTTTGGAGGAATATCCTGTCGTAGTTTTAAGGCCTTCCCTCCACAACCATATAAAAATTCGTGTTTAAAGTGTTCTAAGTGGTTGTATAATAACAATAAAAATGTATTGCTAACATTATACATGTTTGTGATATGTCTGAATATCTTCTGAATTAATGTGGAAAGCAAAGTACAGGTTGGAAAATATTTGCTATTTTTTGAAGGATGGATAACAACCATTGAAGAAACCTGAAAATTAAAACATTAATTTTGATCTCTTGATACTCCTCCTTCCTTTCTTCCCGACAGTCGCTGAAAATGAGTTCTGCTACGATATAAAAAACGTCCTTTTATATGTACAGGGTCAGTCATTTATCACTGATGAATTTACTCGGCCACTTTGGGCACAGAACCTCGACACGTATAACGCATCGCTGCTTCCTAGTCCATTGAGCGAACTTACGAAGACACAGAAAAGTCCCCCAGAGTCCGGAGAAACAAAGTCTCCCACGATAAGATCCACGGCTTATCGCGGAATGGGGGGCGATTACAAAAAAGTCTAGCGCGCTATCTGCCTGCATAAGCTGCAAAATCTAAATGCTACACGATTTAGACCACAGCTTCCACGGCGGCAGAGGTTTGGAGGCTTGGAGGTCCAGCTGGAGGAGGCCCGAGTGAGGTCTCAGGCCGACGACTCCAATGACCTTTTTTTTAGAGCTTAATACATTCGGATCATGAGGTCAGGGGGCAGGCTGTTGGCAGTCTTGAGGAGGTTCGTCTTGGTTTGCGAAAGGGCCACGTTGGCCTTCTTCCTGCTGACTTCCGACCTTAATGTTTTGACCTCTCGCTCTGCTTGGCTTCTCAGCTGAAAGAAGGAAAATAGTCTTGTTCAAAACTCAAGATACAATAAGTGGATATTACAACAGTCTTTTGATATCACGTAACTCAGTGTTATGGTAAAAATAAAGAACAATGACACATGCCTTTGTCTCCGCTTCTACTTTGATGTTCATGGCCTCCACGCGTCTGGAGATGTCCTCGATCTCGTGTCGAAGTCTTATGATAGAGATCTTGTAGTTGGCCTGGAGAAGAGAGGTCGAAAGGAGATACTTGGTTTGGTAATAAAATGTCAGGGCAACTCATTATCATTATTAACAATGTAGTGATTATGTTATCACTCAGTTATCATCGAGATTAACCACTGAAGGAAAGGGAGATACTGATAGTGATGAATGCATGTGTATTTTTGAGGGATTTAAACAAAATGTTCATTATTCTACTAATTTCGGTGTTATTAGCATTATCAAATAATTACCACAAAAATGTAACTATATATTTTTGTATATGATGTATTTCATGTTAATATGAGATCTAGAGTAATTTATGTCATACATAGTGTATCTTAAATTGAGAAAAATCGTTTGCTGTTTTAACTGCAAGATATGGATTTTGTCCTTGAAAGACAATCACTACCAAACAAGAATGGACAAATTGAATAATCATATATTTACTACATGAAGAAGAGAGAAAAATAAATGAAATAAAGAGTAAATTTGGGAGAAATCCAAAACTGACCTTTCTGGAGGGTTCATCTCTGACCCCCGTGACGAGAGGCTGTCTTTTGACGAGGGACCCGATGATTCGCCGATGGAGGGAGTCCAGCTCGCTTCTGAGGGCTCCCTGGCGTTCCTCCAGCTGCGTCCCTAGTTTCCGCTCGTGCGAAAACTGCTGCCACCATTTTTCTCTTCGCTAAAAAGAGGGGAAAGTGTGACCAGTGTGTGAAGGGAGATTGATGTCAGTTTTATCATTGTTTCTCCGAGTTTAGTCACACAGGGTCTGGGATAAAGTTGTATCTGCGGTGAAAAGGTTCCTGTAGTATTCAGGAAAATGGTGAAAAAATGTTTGTAGGATAAAGGGTCTTTGAATGAAATACTATTCTCATGTTCTGTAGGTACAGCTTTATCTTTTGTAGTATTAAACAAGTAATAACAGGAAATGAAACAATATCAAGAGAAACCCAGAGGAAATTAGAGCTGTCTGTCAATATCGTTTAGGTAGCTGGTACATGTGAATGTCAAAAGATTTAAAAGTTTTCCTTACTTCACTTGAGGAATTCACTTACAAATCTATCAATAAAAAAGAGGTATCCAGTACTATTGCTCCTTTAACCTCCTTAACTGTAATTCCTTCTTATCCTCATCTAAACAAACTTCATCAGTGAAACCTTCTTATACTGTCTTTCTTCTCTTTCACTTTACCTTTTCCCGGACTCTCTGTATCTCCTCGTGAAGTTCTCTGGCTTTTAGGAACAGGTCTCTCCTCCTCTCCTCCGCCTCCGCTTTCTCCTGCAGGATCTCCGCCAAACGATTTGATACTGTTTGCTCTGAGATAATACACATTAGTGAGTCGGAGCATTATTGAGTGTTTCGGATTTTGAGTTCTTGTACTCTGTGAACTACGGCAACTAAGGTCAGCTTGGTTAGAACTAAATTGATTGTTTTTATAGACTTGTAACGTATGTGACCGTTTTCTCTGTACGTTATTTTGTGAATCACAAGTTAAATGTGCAAAATAACTCACTTAAGAGATGGTTGACACAATCGCGATGGTGTAGCTTCAGCGTATATAAGAACCACAAACCTGTCTCTTGGCCACACGTTGAATTCTGCGTTCACAAACTATAACAGTATCTTTCAGAACATTGCAACGAAAAGCTGAGCTTCATGCTGAGCGCTTCCTTCTTCAAACAACAAGTCACGTTAAGCAACAACAGATAAGAAAAGAACTGAGCTTCATCTGGATATCTTCTGGTCTATGGAACTTAGACACAAGGCAACATCTAATGCGTCTATTCTCTTGGACAATGCGCTTGACTAGTTACTAGCCACACACTAGCTCTACTGAACATCGCTCTAATAAAAAATCGACTATTTCTGCCTAGAATGCACTAGAATTATATAAGAAAAGTAAAGATATATGATCTTTAAGGACACAATACTGTAAAGCATTTTTAATGAAATCAGATTTAAGGATTGTAAACACTCAGTCAGTCTTGAAACTGGTCAAAAACGGTTTTATTTTGATTTGGTACAGTTTCTGTTTCCAAGATAGGCCTATTTATTTTCTCTAATTTCCATCAATCATCGTTTAAACCTATCACGTCGAGTTTCACTTTTCTCTTCTTTATTATTTTGTGCGACCAAAAGTTGATCTTAATGATACAAATTCGCCGATAGCCTTAAGTCAGAGAACTTGAGCTCAATGGAAACTTTGTAAACAATATCATGACCTGTTGATTTTGTTTTTTTACTTTGATATCGTATTCAGAATTATTTTGTAGTGATGCATGTGCTTAATTGGTTTATTTAGAAGGAGAGAAGATGGACGTAAACATTACTTTCATGCAGAGTCTGGTGGTGAGTCTCGCTGTGGTTCTTTTGCCATGCCTGTTGACGTCTGCCTCGATATTTGCTGAATTTCAAAACAGATTGCAACTCTGTTTTGCTTCGTAAATATCAGGGAAAGTGAGATTGACAGTGTGCATGCGTTTCATTGGACAGTATGCATTTTCTTTTCGTTCTGGAGTGTTTTATAGACCTTGAAAGGGAGAGAGATTCCATTCACTGTAGTAGAGTGAGCGTCTACAGGTGCCCTTTCGTCCTGGCGTGACAATGCAAGCAAACACAACACATATCCTGTCTTGCACTAGAAGGAGACTGGGGGAAAAGAATCCGCCTTGAGCAGCAGATTTACCTTTGTCTTGCGTCTTTCGCTTGTGGAGTTTAGACCCCTTCGCTTTTCTCCTGTGGACCCCTCTCCCGTCCGCGTCCTCGGCGGGGTCGCTCTCCTTCTCGAGCGCGGCATCGGCCAGCTCCTCGAGCCCGCCGTCCTCGGCGTCCGAAACCCACGCCCCTCTACCACGCCCTGCCTCCCCGCCTACCTTCGCCGCGCGCCGGGCACCGCCGTCCCCGAGCGACTCACCACCAGCGACATCGATCTCGTACGTGAGCGTCAAGTGGTCTGGCCTAGAGGCGAGGATTTTGCCCGTTTGCATGTCGATCTCACCAGGGTCGACCTCGATCCCGCCGATGACGCCCTCCTGCAGCGACGCCAGGGGCCCGCTCACGCTGTGGCCCTCCAGCCCCGCCAGCGTCGCCTCCGCGCTCCCGCCGTTCAGCGACAGGATCTCGATGCTGGGCTTGGCGTCGTCGGCGCCGTCGTCTAGCCCGGCTTTTTCCGAGGCTTTGAGGGTCTCCATTCGAGCTTTTCCTGCAAGAGGGCGGCGAGACGGCGTTCGATTATGGAAGAAATATTCTTTGATTGAATTAAGAGAATGCGATAGTTGCTAGACTTATATTCTATATTCATTATCACTGACTTGGAAAATTCCTCTCAACACAATTCATTGCCAACAATAAGAAATTCGGTAAATAATTTAATTGACCTGAAATTACTTTGAATTGTATAGGCCTACTGAAATCAGTATAGTAAATACTGTAGCAATACTCTGAAATACAAATAGTTTCTGAAAAAAAACTTGGTTTCGATTAAGCCTGAAAAGATTATTGAAATAATGGCAATACAGCGATGCTCAAATAAAAGAACAAATGGCACAAACACCTGAACAAGCTGATATGAACACTACTAGTATAGAAAATAATAGTTACTACTTGTTGATAAATGCAAGTTAGCTACACTAATATCATAGCAAATTTTAGGACTATTAGATCGGAATGGAATACAGATCACTACCAAAAAAATGTATTTAACGATAAAATAGCTACCATTTTAGAATATACTTATCTACTGTGATTTGTTCATTAGCTAGCTATTTATATCAAGAGGCTATTTATAACTGTCTACCGAATAGACTTTAATCTATGATACAAAACTATGTAACGAACAACATCTGTAATTTGTCATCCCATATTTCTCCCAAAACTTGTTTCGATAACAGTATATGAGACAGATTTTTTTTATCATATAATATATCATATACTGTTCAGGTAACTCCTCATGAACAAATAAAAAAGAAAAGAAAAGAAAAAACAAAAAAGTGGAAAGGATATTTTAAGTTCGTATCCCACGGTTCGAGGTTAAGCAGGGCGTTCTTTTAGGGTAACGGTTTTTTCAAAAAGGACAAACATCGCCAGCGTTTAGAAACAAGAAAAGAAATGGGAATAAAGTATCTCAGATGTTTTTATCATAAGGGATATATACACACTCTTTATTTAGAAAAAAACAGGATAACGTTTTTTTTTTTTTTTTTTTTTTTTTAAAGGGACAAACATCCAGCGTTAGTAGAAACAAGAAAAGAAATTGGAATAAAGTATCTCAGATGTATTTATCATAAGGGATATATATACACTCTTTATTAGAAAAAAAAACAGCAACTTTATTTTGAAAAGAAAGTCGTTATTAAGGCGCGCATTTCTGCAAAACGATTTCTTGCCCCCATTTACACTTAATCTAACCTTCTCTCGACTATTTACATATATATTTTACCATTCATGTGCACGTACACATAGTAGTTATATGGAAAAAACACATAGTAGTTATATTACTGAACTTTATCTGTTGCATAAGGGCTTTAAAAGACTAAGGTTTTTTTTTGTACGTACAGTAAAAGCTGTAAGTTGAAGCTGCTATGAGTAAAAATAAAAGTGCATTTAAGATTTAAATTTAAACTTGTGTTGATTCGATGCCGCATGTTCTTTACTGTCGCTTTTTAATTGTTATTCAAAGTATATTAGGTTAGGAAATGTGGACTTTCTGAGACGCTGTAAACTTACCAAATAACATTCCATGTTTAAAATACCTGTACTAAGGCATTTATCGTTTGCTTTTTGACAAAAATTCCAAACTAGAATGATTTAAGTGGCATTACATCAAAGGTTTCCACTTGATTATTAAGATATACATCGTGTATTGAGAATGGGCACATTTTTACAGCAATTAGTACCTGGACAATTTCAGCGTTTTATGTCATACTGAGATAGAAAATTGCTAAAATAATCTGCATTCAAGTCTAGAATATGTCACTATTTTCACGAATAATAATACAAGAAATGACAACTAGATGACTCTACCGTGACTAAGCACCAGTCCTTTTATTTACGCAGAATGGGGGAAGAACAATGCTATGCAGACAAAAATAATTAGGGTGATTATGCTTCAAATGTAGTTAAGTGACATGGAAAATTCTTTCTTTTTAGAAGGGAGGGACAGTATAAGGTCTTTGAAAAGTTATATGGAATTATCTTACGAATATAACTCTATTTAGGGAAGTTAACCTTGTAGTTCTGATTGAAATTGGATTCTAATCCTATAAATAAGTTCAGATTAAACGATTCTAAGGATTTATAATCCCATATACACCTCTTCAAGGAATCGAATCGTACAATCCTAATTCAGATCCGTTTTCAATCCTTGTATTAAGAGATTAGTCATTTCATTTATGAGGAAGACGCGTCGAATACATTTCAATTTCAAAATCCTTCGTCGTGTTTACATGCGTTCGTACCCTTGCATGACTCAGGCGATAAAAAAACCGTCTTCCTCATAAGTCTGGTCTCTGTCTTTTTCCATCCTTCTCTAATCCTTCCTTCCGTTTATATTTTCATTTTTCTTTTTGTCCCTTCTCGCTGCTCGTTCGTCATTCCCTCTTTTCTGTTTCTGGAGCTTTTTTTTTAGATTATTTTTTCATCTTTTTTTTTCTCGCTTTTCGTTTCGTCTTCGTCTCTTTCTAACCTTTTTCGGTCATATTTTCAGATTTTATTCTTATTTCTTCTTGTCAGTTCCTAACCCTTTCCGCTTATATTTTCACTATCTTTTATTCCTTCTCGCTTCATTCGTCACGTGCCTCTTCATAATCCTTTTCCGCCTATATTTTAATTTTTGTTTTTATCTCCCATTCGCTTCTTAATTTCCTCTTGTCTCTTCCTAACTCTTTTCCACTTATATTTTCACCTTTTCTACCCCTCTCGCCTCTCCTTCATTTCCTCTCGTCTCTTCCTACCCTTTTCGGCTATATTTTCACTTTTTTCCTTCTCGCTTCTCCTTCATTTCTCTTGTCCTTTGCCTCACCCTCGATTTATTGCCAGAGGTTTGGTGATGGATTTCTTCTTTCTTTCTCTTGCTATCTCACCCCTTCTTTATCTTCTCTTGCCATCACTTCCCTTCTTTATCCTCTCTTGCTATCTCTTCCCTTCTTTATTTTCTCTTGCTATCTCTTCCCTTCTTTGTCGTTTCTTGCCATTTCTTCCCTTCTTTATCTTCTCTTGTCATCTCTTCCCTTCTTTATCCTCTCTTGCCATCTCTTCCCTTCTTCCCTCCCCTTCCTTCACATTCCTTCTATTTCTCATAGTCACCAGTAAGTCTCCTGAGAATCACCTTATCGTTCTTGGTAACATTTTTTTCCCACCTAAACCAGTTTGGTCTTGTTCTATAAGATGGATAATCTATTGCAGGGTTTGTGAACCCGGGGTGAGATTTCCTTCATAATTTTTTTTCTGTTTTTTTGTGTATGAAGTTATCCTCCATATTGTTCTTTTGTTTCCATGAAATTATGTATTTCCTCGTCAGCCATTTCTCATCTTTTGTCTCTGATGATATAAATTCCCGTTTAATCCAATCCGAATAATGAATGGATTAAATATCGACCATCTCCCATCAACCACCTCTCCCTTGACATAAGAAGGAAAATAATAAATTGTTTCAAATACCAAGTGTTCGAACAGGGACTCGAACGCAGACTACCTTCCTAACCTTCCATTGGCAATAGCACTTGCCACAGTGTTTTCGTGGGCGTTACGACAATGGCTCTTGCATGAGAATATAAACATAGCCGTGAAGGAAGAAGTGAACACGAAGACCCTTGCTGCTAACACGCGCGGGCTTTTTTTTTTTTTTTTGTATTATTTCACTCGATCAATCTCCTTTGGTCTCCCCAGCCCCCGTCGCCATTTTTTTTTCGTTTTCTTTGTTTACTTCCCCCTCCTTTCTCTCCCTGCTACTCTTCCCTTTTCGATATAGGTGTTAGGCCTTTCCGTCCTCCTTCTTCTTTTTGTTCTTTATTTCATCTTTATTGTACATGCCTCGTCCTACTTCTTGTACCTAAGCGAACGCTCTAAAATAACGCTTTCATTCCACCAACACCGCGGGGGAACCCAACCTAAAAGCTTTTTTCTTCGTGTTCCCAACTTTTCCCGCGCGTGCTTGGTTGGGTAGGGTCTGCCAAAGGTTATCCCGGACAAAATCTTCAAACTTGCTATTATCTAAATCGCGGGGAGAGGATAATAACGCGGGCGATGTCCAGAGGATCACAAGCCTCCAAAAGCTAGAAAGATAACACGACATCGTGGTTGCTATCGTATTAGCCTGATCACACTCGGAGGGGATACGGGCGTAAACGTGACTTGATTCATGAGGCAGGTATCGATCACAGGTAATCAATGGCGAGACCTGTAATGGGTTAGTTACGCAATTGTGCAACACACAACACTTCAGGTTACGTTACCATGCGTAAGTGATTGATAACACAACACGTATGGATGGAAACGTTGGAAAATAAAGGGTGATACAAACGTGATCATTAAACAAAAACAAAAACAAATGTGTAGTGATAATGTTTGGTGCGTAAATGTGATTAAAAGGCACAATTAAAAGGCTATGCTTGATCAACAAGAGCCATTAAGTGTTGTCTTTGCCAAAACAATGGATGTTTGGTACAGATTGCAATGCGTGGCGGTGAGGTTAACAAAACATAGAGAAAGGATAGACAGTTATTAAAGGAGGAAGTTGTGTAATGATTATGATGAGAGTGGAAGAAGATGTGGAATTAATTGGTTCAGATTTTCCGGATGAATATGACCAGGATTTTTTTCCTGTATAGTGTTAATATTGCTTCGAAATACTAGTGTGATTCTTCACTAGCCTTTCCTCATTATTTTTGTGCTTTTGTACGAGGCTTTGGAATAATGTTTGGATTTTATTTATTCCCAAAAAAGTCATTTTATGGGATAGCGTTCGTCACCATCATCATAAATTCATAAATTAATTTAAAAAATCACCTTTGCCACCGTCCTTAGGATGTATACAAGCTGGTGTATTGCAAGAACACCTAAGCAATGAGTCGTATTAAGGGGTAGTAGTTCGAATCAGTAACTTAAATGTTTGTATCTGTTCCTAAACTGTATTTATTTTTTCTGTTTCAAATTAATATCCCGGGATTTTGCTTTTGAACGTAAACGCCATTCATTTTTATACATTCCAAGGCCAGGGAACGAAAAGGAAACGTGTAACAAGGTTGTTTACATTTCCAACAAGCGAATGGCGGAGAACATACTCTGTGAACTACGAGCATATAGGCTGTAATCAGGCTATGTTAGTGCACACATTCTAAAAGTACCTGGCAATGAGGGCTGGAAAGTGTGCAGTACATGACCTAGTGAGGGAAAAGTGCGGACATTCTACAAGCAAAGGTCAGACGAGGTCAGAGGTAACGTATACATTCATCTAGCTAGTAGCTAGTGAGGACAGGGAGGTGTACATAACCAGAGGTATTACTAGGAAGTGGAAGGGTGTGTACACAGCCACCGTTCGTGTGGCGTGTGGAGGACAAGAGGGCGGTGGAGAGTCGCCCCCGCCCGTGGCTGAGGCGGGCGGGGGGAGCACAGCCACAGGGGACACGAGCGAGCACAGGGGGAAACAGCCTAGACTAGTGAGTGAGGGAGGAACACGCTGCGTCTTACTGTCATCGGCCTCCTCCCCCGCAGCAGCGTCCTGGGCCTCCTCTCCTGAAGGGGCTGAACAAGGCGCGGGGAAAAGGGGTTTGAGTGAGGAAGGAATTGAAGGAAAGGGGAAAAATATTCTGGATGAATCACCCAGATGATTTTTTTTTTTTTGGCTCAAAGTCTAATTACAAGCAAGGCAGAGCACTAAGGAGTTGAGTATACAGATTGAAGCTAAGTTTGTAAGTAAATTTTGGAGTGTGGTTAAGAAAAAAAATAATAGCATTAGCCAAGGATAAAAGCTACTACAATCCGGTTATTTACATGGCTTTCAGGAAAACCACTCGCTTGGAAGAATGAGTAAAAGGAAAGAAAGAAAATCACCTGAAACCCACAGACGAAGATTCCAATTTCAATCACCAATTTTACACCAATAATGATAATAATAAAAATCACACGATCCCTTAAACAACAAAAGATTAGAGAAAGCGATAGAAAAAAAAGAAGAAACAGAACAAAAAAGGGAGAAGAAAGAGAGAAAAAAGAAAGAGGGATAGAGATAAAAAGGAAAGAGAGAGAGAGAGAGAGAGAGAGAGAGAGAGAGAGAGAGAGAGAGAGAGAGAGAGAGAGAGAAGAGAGAGAGGAAATCATCCAAAACGGACACACGCAAAAAGATTATAAAGAAAGCAAGAAAGGGAGAAAACAGAAAAAAAAGAAGACCCCCACCCCACCCCACCCTCCTCTCTTTAAGGACCTCACTCACGTCTCGCCATCCTCGCATAGTACCACCGGTGAGGATAGTACTCAGTGATATCAAAGCTGTTGGCGCGGCGGACGTGGCC